GGAAACGTTCCAGGGTCAGATTGGACGGGGCTCTGAGCAACCTGATCTAGTTGAAGATGACCCTGCCCATGGCAGGGTGTTGGACTAGATGACCTTTAGAGGTCCCTTCCAACCCAAACTATTCTATGATTCTATGGTTCTATGATTCTATGTTATGAAGGCTGGCAGTAGCACAGGAATTCTGTCTCCATGTGTAAGTTAGAGCTTTTCACAGCTCTAATCAGCTGAACAACCTTGCCTAGCTCTATGGAGACTGACTTACACCCACTTACTTCCAGTAATTATCCTTCTCCATGTTTCTATATTTTGTCTGTATTTTTTTCAATCTTAGTCCTACCTCTGCTCCATATTCCTGTCTTTACAAGCAGTCTTTATGCTTGGTTTCCTTCCCCAGTAAAAAGCAAGGGACCTTTATTGAAACTATGGCAGAAAATATAAGCAAGGAGATGATCCCCCTCATTGTCTCAATTCAGATTTTGCTATCTTTGACCATACAGTGCTCTACACCCAAGTTCAGTTTATACACCTTTTTTTCACCTGCTACATCATGCTAATACACCATATTCAGTAAACTATTACTATTAATGGGACATTAGCATGCAGTGAGACAGTACAATAGCACAGCATTACTCCCTATGCATACATTTATGTGAATTATGGTTGTCAAGGTATATGTTTACATGAAACTAAAGGTTCAGAGGTCTGAACAATACTTGAATAGGAGGAAAAACTTTATAGTAACTCATTTCTATTCACATGTATAAATCTGCCCCCTTCATCCTCCTCCCTGGTCCAGGTATGATCCTAACCTCATTCATTTTCTGTGGTAACATGGAAAAGTTATACTGAAAGTAATAATTAGGTTTTATTAATAAAAAGTAATATAAAACAAGTTCTTCCAAGTATTGAATATCAACAGGTGCTTGAATGGTAGGTCACTACAGCATCCTCATAATTCTTTATCATCTACTGTATTGTCAAGCTCTCACCTGTCCCAAATAATTACACCAATAAAACAAACTACATAGATAATCAGTGTTGTCAATCATTCTATACGGAACATTGTTGAGGAAAGAGCTTACAAATAGAACAATTATATTCAAACACCAAAGATCAAAAGAGTGAAAACATTTAACAAATCTCAGATAGCCCTTTTACCCCGTTGTACTGTTTGCTTTACCATTCTCCCTCCCCCACAAATAAAGACATTAAAAAATCATTAGAATACCTTTGAACTTGTGAAAGACGGCCCATAGCTCAGCAATGTCAGTGGCAAATGTTATGTCTGTGTCGAGGACAATGACTCGCTCAAGATTGGAAGGTAGAGTCTTAGTCAGAACCAACTTCATCAGCCCGTAAATCCCAGAGTAGTGTTTGTTGGGGATCCAAGACACTTCCGACTGACAGGAAATGGGAAGTGGGAAAGAGGAAGAAAAAATAATCTTCATTAGAGAGAGAAATTCTTCCTGACACTAGTTTCTTGTAATAGTGGAAGATCTCTGAAGTACCAGCAATACAACACCATAAAATGCCAGGAGGAAACAGTCATCTAAAATCCTGCTTCTAAATGAACTTCAGAAGCTCTGAAATACGCTGAAGTTTCTGAAAGCTTGAAAAAAAAAGTTCTTTGAGGCAACCGCTTTACACAATATAATTAAATTAGTTGAGCCTTTCCAACCTGGTACAATCCATTCTAAGACATCCATGTATCCTGATAAAATCGAAATGTATTTTTAATCCAAAACTTCAGGTGTATGGTACATTGCTTTCATTTTCAAACGGAACAAAAACTTTTGTGTTTGCCACTCCCAGAATTTTCTGACTCTGAAGAGGACGTAACAAACATAACTTTTTTTCCTTTCATTTCTTAAAGATTTGGAGGTCAGAATTTCAAAAGGCCAGTCATTTGGCACAATGGGCCAGAAAATTGCAAAAGATTGTTTCTTACAAACTCAAATTTTCCTTAAGCCTTACATCTTTAACTTATAACTAGTGACATCACACAGACATGCTCGAAAGTGGAGAAAGTGGGAGAACATTTTTAGCCACATTTTTTTGTTTGTTATATATTGAAGATGCAAACCCAAACATTTACATTTCTTCAGTAAGGGCTAAATAAAGCATTTCTACAGCTTCTAAAATAAGCTGGGAGACTAAACTCAGTATTTCATTGTGCTACTCCACTAGGATGTTCCATGAGCTACATTTCTTTTTCATTCTGTGAGACTCAATTTCTCAAATATCAGAAGTCACTGCTGAAAGTGGGATGTAGAAGTTTTTGAAAAGTTCCTATTGCCCTGTCTGAAACTCCTCTCGTTTAATGTTTTAAAGGGCATGCACTACAGTTCCCAGATTTTAAATTTTCCCGAGTCATGCTCCCATTAACTTCAATTAGTATTTTGTCTATAGGGGAGCTGAGTGAGACAGATTTCAGGATTTGTCCTGGCATGTTATACTTCAGAGAAAGTAGGCAGAAACTAAGTGCATTCATAAAACTGAGAAGATTTATTCTGTTGTTTAACTGTCTCATATCTATTCACTGGCATTCTAAAGTTTATTATGTGAAACAGCTTTTGCACAGAAGAGCTCATTTCCTCCAAAATCCTTCAAGAAAACCTTCCCATAATAGAATGGGTTCCTAAACTTTATTTGGAAGTTGGAAGAGTGGTTGAAGAAAGGCTAATAATAGCTGCTTAGAGTGCATTTCTTTTTGAATATAAAGTAACAAGGCCTCTGCCGATGCAAGCTGCCCTGCTCTTTTCTCTTTAAAAGGGCAAACAACTTTCTTCTGTATTCTCAGGGTTCCTGTACCAATGCAAAGAAGGAGGAAGGCAAAATTTTAAGGGGGAAGGCAGGGAAAGCAGGTTATCATAAAACAACCCCAAAACAGAAAGTGCAAACTGAAGTGTGAAGTTTTGTTTACTTTTTTGAAAGGTATCTCATCCTGGCAATCCATTTGTGTGTTCCCTTGTCTGTGCATATAATTCATATGTAATCACCTGCATATACAATCTGGCTGGCATGGTCGCCTACACACATCTATGTATTATTTACTTGTGCTCTCTATAGGATTTGCACTGTAGAATGCCAGAAGTAGCACATGCAAGGAATGCTAGGACTCTGGTATAAGCCACTATGAAAAAAATTAGAGAGTTAAGTAATACATAGCGTGGTTTTATTTATGGGTCTAAAGAGCCATCATTCTAATTTCATTTTTTCTTGCTTGCTCTCTCTTTAATTTGTATGGTGCTTAGAAGAGAAATCTAGTTTCTGTCTCCGAGATATATGCCAATATTAAGTCTCTAGTTATATAAAAATGAACCTCAATGCTCCCCAGAAATTTCTTCTATGTGTGTAACAGAAATAATTTCAAATCCACACCCTCAAAACTCTAGTTACTTGTGGTCCTAGCTCTCCCAGATGATGGCCCTAGGAATGGACCGTCACATCAAGGTGTCAGCAAAGCAGTATTTACCCTGCTTCCCCAAACTCTGCACATCATTCTGAATCTGCCACTTGATGTCCTTGTGCTAGACCAGCCATGGAGATCAGCTCTCTTGTCATACTGACATAGTAAAAGAGTTAAAGTAATTTTACAGACTTGAGCTTGCTTTTATTATTACCCATCCCTATGTTATTAATTTTGGATGGCATGTCCTTCATTTAATTAGTCCAAATGCAATACTACTCCAGAATAACTCTTAATATGCTTAAGCAAATAAGCCTAGTAAGGCAGGGGTTCAGATGTCGCAGGGATAGCCTGAAACAAGCAGGGAAAGTAAAAGGCAGCTGGAAAAGTAAGTCACCTGCAAGGAGCCATTAGTTTCTTTACTCTCAAGATTCTCAATATCTAACACCACTGCAATGTATCACTGCGGGGAAGAGATCCTTGCCTGGCTGTTCCTTCTGATCTGGCACACAGAAGCCAAAAGCTTGCCATCCTGAAGCCTGATGTCTGAAAGGATCGCTTTTGAAAATGAAAGGAGCAGTCCCTATTCCAAATGGTCCATCACAGCTGGTTAGCACGTGTTTTATTTGAGCATATGTTGAAGCTTGAACTGTCAATCGGTTCAATGTATCTGCAATTTTCTCTTCTCTGCTGCAGAGTTGACTAAGACATAAACAGGGGTCCTAATTAGTCCCCAGCATAATTTCTTCACTGCTTTGCTATTCATGAATAATGTAACCATTCCAAATTCATGCCAAGGAAAACTCCTTACACTACACAACAGCACTGTGAAGGCTCACCCTCTCTGGGTATTACATATAGTCTTACTAAAAGAAATAGAAGAACACTATGGTTGAATAGGTGCTTACTAGTTAAGAACTGCCAGTTTGAGATAATTAAGATGGCCTAAGCACAAACTCTTGCAAAATTCTGCAACCTCCAAGCTGTCCACTTTGATATAACTGATAACATTTAGCCATTTCATTTATCTAAATATTTTCTAAATATTTTCTGTAAGTCTTAATACTTTTTTTTCTCTAGCATAGTTAAAATGGCCCATATATGGAATGTTTGTGAATAATTTGCTTTACAAGCTAGATCAGAGTTGCCTTCAGAGAGCAAATATTCCTAGAAGATACGTCAGGAACAGAAAAAAATAGAGTTAGTAAAAGAGGAAAGTGAAACAAATAGTGTGACATACTTTGCCATTTGTATAATTCTCAGTTCAGGAGAAATAGCACACCTTGGATCTCTAGCTCTCAAGAGCTGGATTTTTATTCATGAGAGGAGAGTAAAGAAAGGCATTTTACTGGTGCTGACAGTGATTCTTTTAAGTAAGCTAAGTGAAATAATATCTTCTCACTAAGTATCTTTCATCAGAACCATCTTTATTCTTTCCATAATTGAAGACTGAAAATACACTAAATTATCTAAATTATTTGGTGCTTCTGGCTATGAATATAGAAATTACATGCCCATGAGTCTGCATGCTGTACACAACTGATCACTCTGGTAAATGCCAGAGAAGCGGGAGCAACAGTCTCCCTGTCCAGTGATACTCTACCAGCAAAATTATGCTCTGACTGTCTCTGGGAAAACCTGGCTAAAACACAGTGGCTGTACACGGCCTAACTCAGCTTTCTCACAGTTGCTACCACTGTACAGATGTTCACTAGAGTTAGCAGCAGTGCCCTTTTTAAGGGGAGAAGCCTAATATAGACATACAGCTTAAAATCAAGCTTCCCTGTTTCTATGATGGAGAGAGGGGAAAACAGCAGCTCCTTCTCTGTTTGTGAAAGAATTGTTTAGTAACTACATTCCCAAGTATTTAGGTATTTTTATTCTTAAAAACACTTGTGTCTGGTTGCCCATACATTGAGATCAAAGAGCACTACTCTTCTACCAAGTCATCACAAATATATTCAGCCAGACTTTGACTCTTATACTGTACTTCTTTAGGGAATTGTAGTGATTTTTTTTTTTTCCTAAGTATGCTATTTTTCCCCCACGACCAGGTGATGGGGAAATTTGCCCAGGCTTCCCAGGTGAATACTGATTGCTCTGTAGCTGTAAGTGAAATCTGTACATGGGCAGGTGTCTTGAGCCTCTTTGAAACAGATGGAGACTTGGTCTTGTAGATTTAGCAGACAGCAAATTTGGAAAACGCTACCAACATGAACAGAATGACAGCGGGAATGGTGACCAACAGGAAAGGACAAACAACTTATGGGTGCCTGTATTGTGTCAGATCAAAAGTCCATCGAGCTCAGTAGCCGGCCTCTGATAGTGGATGGTGGGAGATGCCTACTGAAGAATAGAGAAACAGGGAAATTCTACAGCAATACCACCCCTGTATATACATATACATGCCATCCTCTGGCAATTTGCACCAAATTTCAGAGCTAGAGGTGGTATTTTTTTCATTAACAGCTTTTGATGGACTTTTCATCTGTGAATTTGGTTGATTTTTGAAGTCCTGTAAGTTTTTAGCAACCACAACATCCCGCAGCAGAGAGTGCCACAGCTTATTTACAACTCCTGTTTGTTTGGACCTGGCTATCTACCAATTTAATTTGGGTCACATTCGTTTTCACAGAACGACCAGAAGAGCAAACCCATTTCCCTGAGTAGTTGTGGCTAATTCAGAACCCAACACTGTACACATAAAGTTAGGATCCTTTTTTCTCATGTGTCTTACTCTGCATTTATTAACAGCTGCCACCTGATCCTCATTGGGATAAAGACCAAGAAAACAGCTCTTAGAAGGACGAACGTGGGAAGTAGGGTGCAGGGATGGGTGCCAGTCATGAGCATAAGTGTGGAAAAGAACAAGGCAGGTGCTCTAGTTGAGCGAGCAGAAAAATGCACTTTGAAGTTACGTGCCAGGATGAGATACAGTTTCGTTATTTGCTAAAAGCCCAATTAATTAAATTCAATTATTATTATTGCATT